AGTAAATTTGTCTACTGATGTATTTATAGTCCTCACGGATCCCTCAAAACTTTATATAAAGGCAATATACGGAGGCCTACCAGTCGATATTGAAAAATTATTTTTATAGACCTCCACTAGATGGTGACAAAAGCAAACGTCTATTCGTTCTCAACTGAAACCGGCCTCAGCTGGTTGGCTGGTTTAGCTGGTCTTCAGGGCTGGTCATAGCTGGTTTGCAGGCTCGTTTTAGAGGGGCTTTGACCACTTCTTTAGTTGGTTGGGCTGTTGACCAACCAGATTAAACCAGCTGAAAACAAGCTTGACCAGGCTGGGAGATCAGATGAGACCAGCCAACCAGCAAGTTACTGCAGTAACACTAACATTATCATAAAAAAATATATTTCTACACTGTTTAAAAAGAGATAGAACAGGTATTTTTATATGCATTTACAGCCAAGGCATTATTTTAGTAGATTAACTTTAGATTTTCAATTATATTAATATGTTAAATTAACCTAACATTTTTTTATTTGTGAAAAGGAACTATGTTGTGCTTCTCTTTTGTGTTCTTTGTATTTGTCTGTTTTTTTCTGTCTAACTTGGTGTCTGTTTAATTTTGTAGGCAGAAAGCAAGATGAAAATGGATCTATAGTGTTCAGCAATAAAGTCTATGAGAACTTCAGTTTCGCCATGGCCCGTCAGAACACACAGTCCAATGATAAACCACAGCCAGAAGAGTGTATTTATGAGAACTAACTGCTGCTGCTTATATAACCTTTGCTTTAAAGCCAGATCGGCCCAGTTTTTACGAAGGCAGTATGATGTAGGCAAAAGTGTGTTAAGTGGTTTAGCGAAGATATTTGATGGTGCACTGCGAATGTGAAGCAAAAGCTTTCTGTATTGTTTACAATGCCTTCACTGACTTCAAACACTGTAAGCAGGCACTTTAAACAATCAGTAACTGTTTTCGTTGTGTTTAAGCACTGTAGGTGCACTAAACTATTATGTCTTCTAAAGTAAACTGAATTAAATTATGATAATGAGCAAGGATCTCGTATCCGTTTTCTTTCATACAATGCAAAGGCATTATTAAAATCTCTCTTTGCACTTTTTGTTGTATGAATTTTCTTTTTTGTATGGGGCTAATTATACTGTAATATTTTATTACTTGTAAATAAATCACACATTGTATGTCTTTTGTGTCAAAGCCTCTCTGCTGTCAAACCAAACTGCAGAAAATAATTTCACACTTATTCACATCTGTCCTCTGGTCAACTTTGGGTTGCAATGAAAAATGCAAAAATCACTATATCACTTAATAATGGTCATAGTTGGGGCAAAGTTATCTTCTATTGTGAGTACATGCCTATGGTTTATTTAGTGAAAATGTACAGTATATATTTGCAAACTTTGCTCCTTTTAGTACATGGGTGCCTCACAAATCTGACACGAAATGTTTCTAATTTGGTCTAAATGGACATTTAGATTGTGTTCTTATTTATTTTATTCAATGTTTGTATTTACAGTATGTATGAGTCAGTCATTTATTAGAATGTTTCTATTAATTTCCTCTTTGTACAATGTATAATAAATACAAAAAGGTATTTGATGGGATTCAGATATGTTACTGTCGACTGTTCATAACCAATGCTTTACTTAAAGAGGAAATCACCACCTTAACCCATTTCACAGCATGAGACACTTAAGCAAAGCACATGAGGAGGATGCAACACACAACACTTTTCATGGACAGAGAGATGGTGAGTGTATGTTTCATATAAAGTTATTTGAAAACAATTATAGATAAATATGAATATGATGCAACTTGAAAGCATCTTTTGCTTTAGTTGTTATATTAAAACAGTAGTTATTCATATCACTCTATTTTAAAAAGTACCGAAAGGGATAGTTCAACCAAAAACATAAATTCTGTCTTCATTAACTCACCCTCATGTTGTTACAAACCTATGTGACTTTCATTTTTTCTCTTTTTTCTTTCTTTTTTCCTCAGTGTTTTTCTTTGATCTGTTGTTGGTGGATACTTCTGTCTTCAGCTTTCAGTAAAAAAAAAAAAGCTTTTTAAAAAAAAATACATTTATGAATAATATGACAAATATATTCTAACTAAATGTACAATTTATAGCTTGGCTTGAGAAATTCAAGTTGTTGCTGTATTTGTTTTCCAGCATTTGGCAGTTTGGCAGTGAATCATGCTACAACTTTATTTGTCAATCATGGAGAGTCTGCCAAAATCAGATGCAACTACAGCCGAGCAGATGACACAGAAAGCAAGACAGCAGTTCTGCAAACATTAAATTATACACGCATGTGTTCATATTTATTACATGGGAATACATGGAACAAACAAAATTGTGAAGATCACAGCAGATTAATATATATTCCAGAAACTAAGGAAATAACATTCGAGCTCTTAAATCTTCAAATGAAAGATACCGGCACATACGCCTGTACTGTGAGGAGGATTGTAAAACCACCTCAAGTGGAGCTGGGAGTTCAAAGAGTTCAAGTTATTGGTAAATCACTTCTTTATAATCAGGAAGAAAAAAACATTACAGATAGATAGATCTGAATGATGTAAGTAATATTGCATTTGTGTATTAATCCTTCACTGTAAAATCCAATAGTTTACCTTACTTAGATATAATTAGTTATCTTTACTTAGTTGTTATACTTACGCGGTTTTATTAAGTAATAGCTAATTTTAAGGCGAATAAAACAACTTGCTGCAATGAGTAACTCTTACTTAAAATATTTAAGTTGCCACAACAAAACTGATGACATTAATACACCAGTGGGAGGCAGCAGTGCGCTAATGTATTGCTAATGTGCAACAAAACAACAGAAGAAGAAATACGGAAGGTTAGAGAGCATGCGCAACAAGCAACGTTTTTTGAATTTGTGCGCCGAATTTGCTGAGACTGTTTGCATTTTTACCATTGGACAAAGACTGATTACTTCTATACAATAATAATAAGGTACGTTTAAAAAATAAATTGTGTCAATGTATCTTTCTGTGTTGTGCTAATTTTAACTGACTAACCTTGTCAGCGGTGTTAGCTAACAGATACCAAAGATCTTTGCTATTCTGCTGTTAGAAAAAAGACTGTAGAAATACAGAACTTGTGGCGTATTTTGGCGAATTTAAGACCTTTTTTTACTTTTCAAACTGAAAAATTTGTAGCTAGTTAAAAAATGAAAAGTCAGAGGTACAATTCTTGAACATGCCAAAAGTCCTCAAGATGAGCTCACAGTAGGTTTTAAAGTCAATCTTTATGTGCCACTGATAATTAATTGTTTACTGTAATCTTTTGCAGTGTTAACTCTTATCATTTTATAACATTGAGGCTTTGGTCACTTAAGTTATTTTTAAGTTAACCATTTTATTGTCAATATTTTTAATACATCACAATCATAGTCATCACGTGATCACACATTTAAGGTTTAAACCGAATGAGCTCTTTGTCTTACAGTAATTATGTTTTTTCAAGGCAATCGGTTTGCATGCTTTTTTTAAGTAAGGTTTACTAATTGGAATTTACAGTGTTCCACCGTTCACAGTGCGTCCCGCCTTGTCTCTGTCCTGTGTGAACTCTGTCCCATTGTTACATATCCTTACAACATTTCAGCCGAATATGAATTATAAATGTAACTAGATGTGTTCACTACCTGTCTAGTGATGTGTGCATAGGCCTATGTGTCAAATCATCTATCACGTGTCATAATTCCCAGTATAGAGCATAGTGAGCATCGATACTCCCTGGGTTTACCGTGCATTGGTGCACTGGAAGGATTTTGTGACTGAAAACCCACTGAAGTGGCCAACTGCTTGATCAGTGCCCTAATTAATGAATTAGGGAGCTGAATGAGATGCACCCAATGTTTGCTGTAGTGAGTGTCACATCTGAGCCAGTACTCCATGATCATCTGCAGTCTGAGACACTGTATTCAACTTGTGACCATCATCCAGTCCCGTGCAGCCAAGAAACACTGACTGAAGACATTTACAATAATAGTTTTTCAAATCAATGTGTATCTTAATCATTCAGTACCCTGGCACAATTTTACAAGTGGCCATTTTACACAGAACGTGTTTTTGCATTCCAGTATGCTGCTTTTCTGTTGCATTTCTATGTAAACATGCATTAGACTTCTCGCTTGAGACTTCTGCAGGGTCGCATGCATGACACAGTGTTCTAAAAACAAAGTGTTTAAATTAGCCTAACTGAAGATCAGCTTTTGATATGAAGAAAAACTTTGATATGCTGCATTTCACCCTCCCCCCATTCATCTGCCCTCCCTCTTGCATTTTTAAATGTAAAAATGTGTTAACGGAAATCAAGCCACATCGCACTCATAATTGAGCTCTCTGAATATCATGTCTATGTTAAAAAAACAGTGTAGCTATAGCTTCATATATAGCCACTATATGTAAATGATCATGTGGAAATAGCTTTCAAAGAGCTTCCTATGACAGCCTTATGAAGTGCAGCAAAAAGGTATGCAACCCAGGTAGTAGAGGTCATAAGTAATTAAACCTTTATTTATTTTACATGTACTGCCTTTGCATGTTTACCAATGACCTACACCAAGCTTTGATGCATCACCTGCTTCGAGATATCTTTACAACCTCCCACATGGTGTGGTTAAAATAACCAGACCACTTCATCGCTTTAAGTGCAGTTGCCCAATCAGAGCATAAAGATGTTGATCTATAAGAGAGGTTTTGGTGGAGGCAGCAAATGAGGTCTACAGGACATTGGGTATATCCATTTGTTTCAGAGCATTACTACACTGTACATCTGTTATACTGGTACAATCCAAACAAAAAATCATTACTTCCCTGCCTGACGAAAATCATATGTGTTAACTTTAGTTAACAATGACCTTGTAGAGTCTTACTTCATTAATGCGTTTTAGAATAATGCAATTTAAGAAATAGTTCAGCAGTTAAAAAAAGAAGTCAAGAATTTGGTGGAAATAATGACTGTTTCCTTCAAACACCTCTCCATCTAAATACATCAGTATTCTTCCTTGTCTATTTCTGCTTTCTTTCACCATGATGTCAAAATCTTAAAGAAGACATATTATATTTTCAGAACAACACCTAAAATCAAAACTGTGTTAAGTCCAGCTAACAGGAAATGTTCTCAGATATCTGGCTAATGTTCTGGCAAGGTTCTTTCAAAGCTGTGAACAAACATTTTTTCCAGTAACTTTTAATAGTATTTTCATTTAAAGTTATCTGCTCTTTAATAACTTTCTCAAAACTTGAGTTCAAAAACACTATTTACACATTGTTTGTGGAACATAAAAAAAAAATAAACAAAAATCTTGAATGTTTTAGTTGGACATTCTTCAAACAATTCACAACGGGCACATTTGCCGCTGTCCTAATCCAAGTGTGTTTGTTCCCGGCATCTTAAATCTTCTATTAAATATTCATCACTTTCATCCTCCACAGTTGTTTTGTTGAACTAATGACATCATTATGTTGCTTTTCTTCCTGAACAAGTGCAGATTCGACTTGCTGAGCTGACCACCTCCTACAGGTTGTCTCTATTTTGGTATCATGGTGCACACCTGGGTGTGCGTGACAACTTTCACGTCACTAGTTTTTCATGCAAACCGTGTTCTGTTTTGAACTAAACTGCCATTGTGAAAGCCTCATTAGTTGCCACCAAAATGTAGGAGTTACTTAACAACTGAAATAAGCTAACATTAAACAGGTTTGTTTGATTATGTAGGCAGAAAGAGAACAGACTAAGTATTCAGTAATAATGTCTACACTAAACCACAGCCAGAAGTTTGTCTTTATAAGAACGAAGTACATCCGGCTTACATAACCTTTGCTTTAATGCCAGACAGGTCCTGCAGTTGTTGCAAAGGCAACATGTAGGCGAAAGTGTGCTAAAGTGGGTTTTGCTGATGCACAATGTGTGATGATTGTAAAGCAAATTGTCTGTATTGTTTATAATTGAGAATCCACAATAAGGCACGTACAATTTTGGGGTAACTGTGCTTTCATTGTGTTTAAGCATTGTGTGGGAGCATTTGGACTAATAATAAAATTGTGTTTTATTTACAAATTAAATGTATGTATTTTCTTCTAAATAAATAAAATGTCAAACCAAAATGTCCCACTACACTATCTCTGTGCCCTGGTGAACTCCACTGTCAAACCAAACCGCCACTATCTCACACTATCTCTGGTAAACTTTTTTTCCTATGCATATGCTAGTTGTTTACACAGGTTACACATGGTGCGTCATAAGCCTGAAACAAAATTTCCCAGTCTTGCCCGCCTAGTGTTTGTGGTTGACAAGTACATATAGAGATGTGATGCAAATCTTTTCTCACACATCCAGCTAACATGCAACTGTGGGATCAAAAATTTAAATAAATAAATGAAAATTATTTATACTTCTACATATTATGCTTTTGGTGGTTACAAATGAATTAAACAGTCATGGGTGTAAGATTTTGTTTGGTTCTTATTTGTTTTGTTTTAACTTTTGTCTAGTATCGAATCAGTCCATCATTGTTAGAATGTTTTTAGTCATTTCCTCTTTTTAAAATGTATAATGAAATATACAAGGAATTTGATGGGATCCAGATTATGTATTACTGTCAATTGTTAATGGCTGATGGGTTACTTAAAGAGGAAATCATCGCCTCAGCCTAGTTTCGCAGCATAAGACATTTCAGCAAAACAGTGAGGCAGAAGCCACACACAGCGCTTTCCCTGGAAAGAGAGATGGTGAGTGTGTGATTCTTCTGAAGATAACTGAAAGCTGTTTTAGATTTAATGTAAATATAATGCGTTGAAAGTTGAAAATGTTTCATCTTTCTTTCGCTTTGTTGTTATGTCAGAAAAACCGCAGCTACACTCTTTAAAAAAAGGGTTCTTTGGGGTTCTATATAGAACCCTAGGGTTCTTTACTCAACTCCAAAGAACCCTTTATGCCAAAAAGGTTCTATATAAGGAGAAAGAACCCTTTTTGGCACAAAAGGGTTCTTTGGGCTAAACCATGTATGTTTACACATTAGGCTATTTAAAATTATTATACTACATTGTATTTGTGTTTTTATTTCAATTTTATGTTGACACACCTTTATGTTTATTTCAAGAAGCTAAAAAGAAGAAAGGTGGTTTATCGCGTTGTACAGGCCTGCGCAATTCTCTGCCGGGAGGTTTGTCATTTTTAACATGAATCCCTATCTTGATAAAACTGTTGTGAATTGATCAATAATGCTGGCGAGAGTTCATGTTATATCCTAATATTTTTTGCCCTGTAGATTGTGTTGGACCTATATGTATAGGAAAAGATGAAACAAAGTTTCGGTCAAATCACCGTCAGACAGCCGTTATAAACATGAATTCAAACCAAGAAGAACAAAGAGAGAAGCTGATGGAGATGTTAACATTTTTTTTTGTGAATAACTGTGAGTATTTGTTGTTTGCAGTATAGTAAAATATTAAGGGGTTCCATATATGAAGCGCCTGATAGAACCTTTTAAGGTTCTATATAGAACCTTTTCTTCTAAGAGTGTATTACTGTATGCAAAAAAGTGCATTAAATTAACTAATAAACTAAAAGCTTCTTGAATTTCAGTGTGTTAAATTAACCAATACAAAATATGCAACACTGAATCTTATTACTTAATACATAAGAGCTTGATTAAAATTGTATATTTCAAATGACATTTCTGTTTAATGTGTCTTTTTTTTCCCCCAGTGTTTATCTCTGATCTGTTGTGGGTGGATGCTGTTGTTTTCCGTTTTTGGTAACAAAAATGTCTTCTATCTTTTTTTGACATTAATGCTAATACGCTTCAAACTCTACTGTCAAACCAAATTTGCACACTATCTCTAGGCATTAATGCTAATACGCTTCAATCTTAACTTTTTGAACAATATGAAGACGTGAAATTTCCTCTAACATAAAACTGTCAAGTTCTTGTTGTAAAATATTTCATAAATACATTTTGTGCCTTCCTCAGGAAGCACCTGTACAAAGAGAACCCAAATGTGCAATTCGCAGCTTGCCATAAGAAATTCAAGTTGTTGCTGTCTTTGTTTTTCAGTGTTTGGCAATGTGGCAGTGAATCACACTACAACTTTATTTGTCAATCATGGAGAGTCTGCCAAAATCAGATGCAACTACAGCCGAACAGATGACACAGAAATCATGACAGTGGATTTACAAGCATTAAATCATGCACGCATGTGTTCATACATACATTTGAATGCATGGCAAAAACAAAGTTGTAAAGATCACATCAGATTCATATGGATTCCAGAGGCTGAGGAAATATCATTTGAGCTATTAAATCTCTGTATTAAGGATACCGGCACATACATCTGTACTGTGAGGAGGACTGCAAAACCACCTCAAGTGGATCTGGGAGTAGAAAGAGTTCAAGTTATTGGTAAATCATTTATTTATAATCAGAAAAAATGTTATATGTAATATTATTTTAATTCTGTCAGGACCACTATCTTCAAAATGATAGATATTTAGCATAAAGTTTGGTTTGGCGGTATGGTTCTGTTCTGGGCAAAAAACTCCCTGCCCATCCATGCAGCCGGTCATGAATGAGCAGGGAGAGCAGCAATAATAACCCCCCTAGGGTTAACAGAACAGAACAAGGCAGATATCATTAATGTACTT